CTGCTCGGGTTTGCAACACATTACGTTTACTTTTTCCTATACATTTTTTTGTTTTGTTGTGTAAAATAAAAAAAAAACATGTCTTGAGTGGAAATTCTTACACCGCCACTACAAGGTCGTACAAATTCTACTACATCATATCATCCTGTGGGTGTCGTAAGAGGTGTCAGAGGGATGCTGTGTAGGTGGGCAGCAGCATCTTCTTGATAACAGCTAAGTAAAAATAAAAAACTGTGGTTGCCAATCCGCTTGCCAAGCGTGGCAACTGTGGCAAATATCCCCCTTTGAGACCATCTATGGAGGAGGTCTATGTTTAGCAGTGGACTTTGGATAGGCTATAATGGTGATGGATCTTTCTCGACTTTAATTAAGAATATCGGATTATAGGTTTTTAAAAAAATGACAAAAAAATCTGCGGAGTTTCTTTTGCCGTTTCTTATCTGGACAGAGGGACCTAATTTTGAAACGGTAATCTATACAAATAAATAAAATTGAAATGTCTGTTTGTAATGTCGAAATAACAGCTTGTTACTATATGCATATGAACATATATACGGTACTTATAACAAAAACACGATTTTTAAAATTTTTGTCTGTCTGTCTTTCTGTCTGTCTGTCTGTCTGTCTGTCTGTTTGTTCCGGCTAATCTCCGAAACGGCTGGACCGATTTTGACTGGACTTTCACTGGCAGATAGCTGATGTTATAATAAGTAACTTAGGCTACTTTTATTTTGGAAAAAGAATTAGGGTCCCGCACAAAAAATTTAAATCCATGGAATCCAATCGTAATTAATTACGCGCGGGCGAAGTCGCGAGGAACAGCTAGTACATTATAAAACAAAAATTTCTTACGTCGAGAAATAAAGAGTTTTCCTTTCACTGTCATAATAATTCACCTTACTAATCGGGCGGGTCGCTAGTCTATACATTTATACATATATTGTATAGACTAGCGACCCGCGGATTTGTTCGGAACCCTCGGTGCGCGAGTCCCACTCGCACTTGATCGGTTTTATTTAAATATTTCTTGAGTTTATCTTAATGAGTTTTGTGATAATTTTGGGTTATAATAATCTTTTTTTAGTCAGTTGATGCTGGGAATAGGCTTTTAAGAATGCGCTGCACAGGCGGCCGATTAGTGATCATAGAGATGAAACGCTGAATTCCCTAAGTCTGTATTGCCATTTCCTATATTGGATTGTTTTTATTTGAATCTCCATTATTTTGTGTCTAGAAGTAGAAGTAATGGTTATAATTAGGACTCTTGGTGTTAATGTAATTTTTGAGATCATCTACGTACCTATGTAAAAATGTTTTGAAGTCTCTGTTTTAATTTTTATTAAAAGACTTTTTTTCTTCTTTTGAATGGACTAGGCAATATAACAAGTTCAAGGCAAGGTAAGAACTAGTAACTCATTACAATAAAAACCTCGTCCTTATTTTTCCATCCTTAGGTATGGATTTTTTCTTCTAATTTATATTAGACCACCCTTGAGTTGGAGTCTATTTAATAAAAAATAATAATTTAAATAGCTTTAGGAGTTTATAAGAAATTGATGAACATACATTAAAAAAATCGGCGTCGAATATATAATCTCCTTTTTTGATTGCGGTTAAAAGCTGTTTAAAATATGAAAGTAAAATCTTATTTCTGATAAAAATTTTCGCCATTACACACTTTCACTGCTTTAAACCGCTTTTTAGCTACGTAGGTGAATGCAATTTTGACGCAAATCTGTGTAACAATGCTGCCAAGCCTAGTTGTTGGTGAAGTAGGCATTCGGTCATTTAAACTATAATAAAAAAAAAAACTAAAACTAGTAACTTAATTATCATACAGTCCTACTCCCCGCGGTATCGTGCCAAGAGCACTGGCTGCGTTTCTCCGCTGAATGGCTATACTTAGCCATTTAGCTAGAAAGCAATCAGCTCTCTTATCACCAGCAGCAAAGGCCAGTCGAAGATGGAGTTCCTTTAGGAACTTACCACGGACCGATAGTCTCTACAGCAAATGGCACAGAATCAATAATAGTACTACGTACGGAAGTTGCACTCCTTTGATGTTGACTGCTTGCCGACGATTTAATAACCTACATAGTTATTATTAATCAGATAAATCGCGCACGCAACCTAAATAAAACTTTATCGCTGCGCGCGAGTGTCCGTATTACTTTGCATCTTTTTTCCTTTCTACGTCACAACGGACTTTCCGTGGCTACTAAGGGCTGTTAATAAAGAGTAAAATAATACATCGTAAAATGGTATGTTATTTGGTATTGGTATAGTACCTATTCTGACTATGATCGATCATATTGTTTACTTTTTTTTTTGTTTTTTTTTTTTTAATTTTTTAAAAACGTTACCCCCACACTAGGATTTTCTCCTGTATCGTGGAGGCAGTTTACAAACACAAATTTCACAAGGACAAACATCCAGACCCGGAACAATCATTTGTAGGCCATACAAATACTTGTTCCGTGCGGGATTCGACCCGCGCCCCCCAGCGCAGCAACTCATTTCTAACCCACTGCGCCACGGAGCCGTCAAACTATTACCGCTACTATGTGAGTTCTGTGAATTTGTGATGCTCAACGTATGCAACTTGCAGGGCCATTCGCCGGGAATCGCGATGCTTGGCTCGTAAGAATTAGGTACATAGTGTAAACAACAAATAAACCCGAAATACTATTCCTAACAGAAATGTGATGGTATTCTACTTATTTAAAAATCTTGTAAACAAAGTTTAAATTTCAGTATTTTGTGTAATTAAACTTAAAATATTTTAATTACAAAAGACAAGTACAGGTATGTAAGTAAGGTATTTGGGTAGTGAAGTAAATTTCAACCAAGTTTTGTAATAAAGTACTTAGATATTACTTTTGTAGTTAAATTAGTACTTAATTCTTTTTTTGCTATAAGTACCTGCTGGCGACACGCTTAAAAAATAGTTTGTTGATGAAAGTCAGTGTTAAAATATGTCGAATAGACTCGCGGCGCGCGGTTATCCTTAGTGTATAGCTCGCGTACTAGGATAGTAAACTGGTAATTTGGAAATTCTTACCCCCGGATGGGCGACCTATACTAAGAGAACTCATTTCTATAGAGATTAGAGAGTCGAGTAACAACCCTCAATGTCGCAGATAGGCCAACTTTGACACCTTATTGAAACCAACTTGCAGCGACCGGGGAACCAAAACCCGGACCGCAGCGTTACCTACAATGCCATAACGGCTCCCTCGACCGGTACATAGTTACGTACCGCGAGGAGATTCCGGGCAATGGGGTATGCCCCGAGACCCTAGACCTGCTGTGTGCTAAACGTCACGCCTCCGGTGTAATGCCACCATGGAGGACGGAATTAAAGAGCTTCTGAAGGACTTCAAGTACCGGTTTTCCACCCGCTTTCAGAAGCTCCGCTGTAATTCCATCCTCGCCTGGGGCCTTGCCGTTTTAAGTTTTATTTCCTACTGCACCTTAATATCTTAATAACGATTACAGTCCACTTCATCTGACGTCAAGACCGGGACCGCTCCATAGGCAACCATGATCTTAGTCGTCTAAACTTTCTTTTAAGAAAGGGCGACAGACTGACTTTGAGTGGCACACACCTTCTCAGGGGTCACGCCCACCTCGTACCCGAACAAAACTTTCTTGGGGTAGAAGATCATTCACCAGTTGACCCCCGTCTGTTATAAATTCACCATTCATTATCCTTCGTAAATTAAAAAAATATATATCTGAATCCTTTTGTTTGCTCATTAAGCATCAATTATAGCAGGAACGACGTTTTGCATTATAATTTATGAAATAGATGGTAACATACATATTATATATTATTCTTAAATTACATTAAGGTCTGTATACCTTATTATAATAATTGTGTTTTCTGACTTTTAATTCGGCATGCATTTTAATCATCAACGTAAAGTTGTTGTAGCACATCGAGATGATACGTGTTGATACATCGAGATGATACACTAAAATTTTATTATAAAGTTAAAAGTTAAAATTACAGCCAATATACGTTGCCCGGTTTTCGGGTAAGGAATTGTCCTCCGCGCTGCCCCAATGCGTGTTGTCGAACATTACGTCTTCGAAATATTTTTTTTCTTATTTCTCAGACATGCAAGTTTGCTCACGATATTTTCCTTTACCGCCGAGCACGTGGTAAATCGGCACTTAAAATTGCAATTAACGATTTCATTGGTGCCGGCGGGGATCGAACCTGGTTTGCTCGCGCACTGTGAAATTTATAGCGAGCGCTAACCATCTGAGCTTCCACGGCTCAGATGGTTAGCGCTCGCTATGAATTATAAAGTTGCGATATAGAAAATGGAAAAAAATGCGAAACTATGACATATATAAATCCAGTTCAAAGATACTTGCGCGGCAAATGCCAAGGCAAGACAGCTTGCAAAATATTGTTCGAGTTTGCGTGGCATATGGTTGGGAAAAAATACATTGTCTTTCAGTTATCAGTGGTGAAGTAAGGTAGGGCCATTGTTGCTTTAGCCGAAATGTCAGGAGTGGCATATGACGTCACGCCGCGTTGAAATGGCGCGGCATTTCACGGTGCGCCAACCACACCCCAACCCACCCTAATCTCCGTTACGGTTTATCCAAATCGTCCCTCGGGTCGTCCGCTGAGCATCGACCTAATTCTTTTTTACGTTGCTCGTTAATCTGACTATAAACATATTGTGACAATAGGGTAAAAGGGGTCGAGGCGATCCGAGGTTTATGTTTGGTTATTTGTCACGCACGTGATTTCGATCGAATCATTTTTATTGACAACTTGCAAAGTTAACTTTTAGCAAGTCACAGTTATACGATATCGTTATGCGATTGCTGCTGGCAATATTATATGATGCCATTAGCAAATGAATTGCAACTAATAGAACATTAACTTGAAACTAGCCTTATTTGTACGGTCTTACTTAAGTATCAGTAAGTTAAATGTTTTTGAATTTATATGTAACTATTCCATTTTTGTTTAACAGGTACGCAATGGCTGCAGCTGGATTGGTTGTATTCGCTTTGCCGCAGTATTGTTTTTAGCTTCAGGTTAGATAAGTTTTTATTTTTGTAAGAATAATGATTTACATATTTTAGATCTAAAGAAAAATATATTAGAACTATATCGTACACCCTATCCTTACAGTGACATGCACTTAAAATTAGCAAATTATGAAAATCTATATGAGGTTATTTTTCAAAGAGTATCCAAATTTTATATATAAAGTTCAAATATCTAAATAAGGATATACCGTTATTGCAGTTTTTCAAAAAATAGTCTTCTACTTTTATTTGGAATTATCCTAAATTGGATGTAAATTATGGGTAACAACTATGCGTATGCGGCGCTCCTTCGTGTGCGATTCAATTTACAACGTTTTTGACCCTTACGAATGTGTGCGTGCGTAGTAAAATAGTAGGCGTTAGATATTTCTAAATGACAATCAGTTTTTACCACGAATTTTGAATTGAAAAGATAAAAAAGACCGAATGATTGAGATTTTTTAAATTAATTTTTCTTCACCATTCGACTATATTACTTATTTTGAACCTTCTCTGTTAATTTGGGCGTATATTGCAAAATAACCATGTATATTAATACGTAAAGAAAAAACTTTGTACCCCTTTTTAATAATATTGCATGCAAGAAGGAGTGTGAAATTTGGCATAGTGAAAGTTTATATGGAGTAGGATATATATAATATGTGTTACAAATACATACTACATACATTAAATGAAATAAAATAAAACATTCATTGTTTACTTTTATATTGTCAATATCAAAGAGGTACATACAGGGTTATTTTTCAAAGAGTAGTCAAATTTTAAACTTAATTTCAAATATATAAATAATAATATACCGTTATTGCAGTTTTTGAAAATACGAGTAAATGAGGCTTTTACTTTTATTTGAAATTATCCCAAATTGAATGTGATTTATGGGAAACAACGTTTTTGCCTACCGGTCGCCCTTACGAATGTGTGCTTGTGCAGTAAAATCAATTAAAATAATTTATTACCACACATTTTGAATTTTAAAAGATAAAATGGACAGAAAATGTGTGAGTTTTTTCTTAATAACTTTCTTCACCATTTGCCTATATACTTATTCTGAACCCTCTGCAAATTCGGCCGGTTATTGCAAAATAACCCTGTATACAAAGCAGAACATTTTTTAGAAGTAAGAGTGACGAATGAACATACAGTCCGTTCACCTGTCTAACTGAATGCTGTGGCCCATTGACATCTACTCTCAATTAAAATCAAAGTTCGTTCTCACCTCTGAGGATCAAGATAAAATGCGTCGGTACCAGTCAAAAGGAACTCGGTTCTCGGCACTCACTATACAAAACACGGCAGCATTATGCTGCCTTTTCGCGCTGATATTCTGTGCGATCGTGGCCCTTCCCTGGTCAAGCAGAACCATACTTGCTGCAGCAATAACACAGCTGCAGCGAATCTCCTCCGCGTACAAAGAAAGAAAATAATTAAGTCGTTGTCATTACGACCGCGACTTATAGTTACGACTCGTTATGATTTTCATTCATTCATTACAGCCTTTCAAATACCTGTGCTGAACATAGGCTCATCCATAGATTGGCTTATAAGAGAGATATGCCATAGTTGCAACTCTGGCCGGCGGGTTAACGACCGCAATTTTTTATTTTCTAGTTGTGATTAAGACGCTGCTGCTCATCTTGTGGTTTATTTCCCTCTTTCGCCGCTAACAAAAGCCACGGGGCGATATAGGGTAGTGGTTATTCTGAGATCGCCACTACTAGTGAAACATATGATTTGAAAAAAAAAATACTCAATATAACAGACATGAAGCTAATACAAAGGGGAGACGGCATAAGAAACTGTGCACTGTGATTCTAAGTAGGTCCTGACGTCATCATAGTGGGCGTGGCTTTAGTTAGTATACTGTCAGCATTCGTCCTGTCCGCTCATGTGTTGAAAAAATCGCAAATCGATGTATTTTAGTAGTATTAAGAAGAAAAGGATGAAGTGTTGTGTTTTATTGTGTAAAAACTACTCCAATAGACGCTCTGATGTTATGGATGGCATCACATTTCATTTGTAAATAATTTTACACCTAATTTATTAAAATAGTTCTAGAAAAATCTCTTTGCGTTGGCTTTCAAATATAATTAAATATATTCGACACTAGATGGTGACACTTTGTGTCATGTGAACTAAAAATATAAAGGTCCGTAGAGCTCAGTATTGGTAAAATAAACATACGAAGGTGCTGAAATTTGTTTTGCATTCAGATATAAAGTAATTTTAATCGCAAAATATTATTTTTATAGTTTATAATCATTATGTGAACAGGCCGTATTCTATCGTCAAGTAAACCTCATAAAGATAACAAAAAGACAGTGCCGTAATTAGAATTCAATTATTTTATTCAGTAATCCAACTTTCAATATTAAAATGAAGGAAATTGTACTTAAGCTGATTTTCACGAAATGTTTAAGTTATATTTAAGTGACATTCTATATGCAAAGAATCACTTAAATACAATTTAATGTTCTTAGATTGGCATTCAAAAAGTGCATTCGGATGCCTAATTTGAGATCATTATACACTCAGAGACATTAAGTAGTATAACCCACAGATAAATAATAGTCCAGCTGTTTCTGCGTGAAAAAATTACACATACACAGTACATACTTAGTGTGGAATAAGCTCAAGGAGACAGAAAGAACACACAAAATTTCGCCTTTATAATATTAGTGAGATAAATAGGATATTTAGTTCCAAATTAAATATCCTACTTAATATTGAACATAGAATATTTAGTTTCAAAGAGACATTATTTTATGGATAAAATAAATATTTTTTGAAGGTTGACTTTCACGAAATAATAAACATATTTAAATTGTATTTAAGTGATACTTTGCATATAGAATGTCAGTTAAATATAACTTAAACATTTCGTAAAAATCAGTCAAGTACAATTTCCTTCATTTTAATATTGAATGTTGGGTTACTGGGTAAAATAATTGAATTCTAATTGCGGCCCTGTCGTTTTGTAATTTTTTATGAGGTTTACTTGACAATAGATGGCGGCCTATTCCCAAAATTATTATGAAAACTATAAAAATATTGTTTTGGCGATTAAAATTTCTTTGTCTGAATGTATTTGCTTCATGAGATAGACGCTCCGATGCTATGGATGGCATCACATTTCATTTGTAAATAATTTTACATCTTATTTATTAAAATAGTTCTAGAAAAATCTTTGCGTCGGCTTTCAAATATAATTAAATATATTCCACACTAGATGGCGACACTTTGTGTCCTGTGAACTAAAAATATAAAGGTAAGTAGAGCTCAGTAACGATAAAATAATCATACGAAGGTGCTAAAATTTGTTTTGCATTCAGACATAAAGAAATTTTAATCGCCAAAATATTATTTTTTAGTTTATAACATTTTGTGGATATGCTGCCATCTACCGTCAAGGTAGCTAAGCTACATTGCAACATTGATATGGAAAGATTCGAGTAGTTTTACTATTTATCGGTAGATGTAGATAGTGTAGTGGGCGGGGCTTTGCATCCCCTCACCCCGCAAATTGTCACGCGTTGTTTCATAGTGAAATTGAATTACAACTTCTCCTCTTTGTATTTGCTTCATGATAACAGATGCAACTACACACTACACGTCAATCCCTAGATAATATATATATGTCAAATCATTTCCATGTGTAGCCGGTGTGTGGCCGAACGATCATCTCGCAATCGAAAATACTGCAATGTTGCTGGGTCATCTATACTGTTGTTTCGTTTTGGGCTATATAAGCCTTTCTCCCTTTCGATGCGACGTGAAATACGCTGCGCATCAATTTCTGAGCGACGCGACAGGAAGTAACTATGTTCAGTGGGGCCCCCATATATACAAACTAGCAAGCAGACTAAGTTCTGCAGCCTATGCTGTAAAAAAGATTAGAGGTCTCAGTAGTGTCGAGACAGCTAGATTAGTTTATTTCAGTTATTTCCATAGCATAATGTCTTATGGGATTTTGCTATGGGGAAATGCGGCACATTCAGAAACTATTTTTGTTTTACAGAAGAGGGCCATTAGAGCTATTTACAACCTAAAACCGAGAGAGTCTCTTAGAGATAAATTTAAAGAAATAAATATATTAACTTTGGCCTCTCAGTATATTTACGAAAATTTAATGTATTTTCACATAAACAAAAATAGTTTTAGTAAAAAAAGTGATATACGTTCTGTAAACACTAGGAACAAACACAAGTTAGTGATACCAGTTTCTCGACTCCACAGAGTCAGTAATTCATTCTTGGGGCAATGTATACGCTATTACAACAAAGTCCCGGAAAGTGTACAGGCGCTCTCTATTAGCAAGTTTAAATGTTTTGTTAAGTTGAAACTGTATAAAAAGGGTTATTATAGTATAAATGAATACATGGTTGATAATAACCCCTGGGAATGAGGTGATCGCTTCCAAGCTGTTTCTAAAATAAATTTTGTACTTATATAGTTTGTACAACCATTAATGTAAAATTTGCTTTAAAAAAACTCCCGCTGGGTTTCTTGCTGGCCCAGGACGGAGGTTTTTTTTCGAACCAGTGTTAAAGTAAAAAATGACTTTCAATAAGAATTACACATGTGATCTATATTGAATAAAAAAATATTCTATTCTATTCTGCCAAATTGTTGAATTGAAATTGTTCTTCTTTCATTTTCTTCCAACAACAATATACCTACCATCAAGCCATATAAGGGAAACCTGTTATTGGCCATACTTTTAGTTTGTTACATTAATGTTAATATTTACTTTATACGCTATTGGTTTTCTGAATAAATTAAATAAATAAAATTCAACGCGTCGCGATAGTGTTATTTTTAAATAAACGTGGCTGTCGTTCCCAATCATTTTGAAAAATATTTTTTATTTTTTAATATCTTTGTGTGGCCGACACGTTTAGGATTCAAAATCATTGGCCATACTGTTGCAGCCATATTGCAACATGTATTCTATCAATTGAATGCTCAGCCATAAAGTCAATAAAATGTTTTTGTGACGGCCGGATAATGTTGCCAACAATTGCAGCTACACATTGCTAGAAAACTTGTCCCGTTTAGACGAGCCCTTAATTCTTGTACTGACTGTACAAACACACCCGTCTTTCGATTTATCAAAATGAGTGAATGTGAGCCGCATGGCTCACCTGATGTGATGGTGAGGTACGATCGCCGCGCCGCCCATAGGCAACCGCAATACAGGAGGAATCGTAAGTTCATTATCAGCCTTTATAAAGAATGTTCTTTCCTTGAAGGTCTTGAAATCATATCGTGCCGGAAAAACCTACGGAAATAGTAAATAACAAGTTAATTTTTTTTACCACGTTTCTTTATCATATTTTTGCCTTGTCATCCGAATTTGAGCTAAATTCATAATTTCAAGTTTCCAGCTCATTAGGAAGTTGTTTAAAATCAATTACTACACTCCACCCGGCACAACAGACAAACAAGAAAGTGACTTAATAAAAACATGGTAAAAACTGAGCACAATGGTCGTGCTTGGCAAAAAATTCTGGAGAAAACCCATTGGTGGAACCAATAAGAGATGTTGTGCGTGGAATATGAATGAACGTTAGCGTAGCTAATAAAGATAAAAATAAAAGGACTATTCAATTTTTAACTTCCCGCTTTGAAAATTAATAATTTTTAAGAGTAGGAAGTTATAGTTTAGTAAACTATTTATTAATCTGTGGTTATAGATTTGGGTCCGATTTTGAGAATGCGGGTTTTCATCAGATCTCCACGTTTTGACGTCCGGCAGTGTGTGTGTGTGTATGTATGTATGTATGTAAATTTTTTTTTTCGTACGATATCTTTAGAACGAATCAACCGATCGAGATGGGCGACACGGCGTTCGAAAGTGTTCATTGAGACTTCGACCTGATTAGATTTTCAAGTCAATCGGTCGAGCAGTTTCAAAGATTTTCAAAAAAATTAAATAGATTTTCGAGAGTTGCGTTCGAAAATAAGCGGGAAGTTCCAGGGATGGCATATAGGGTCAACCGTGTTTCAGAACTTTTTCTAGTGTATTTATTATACACATCCAACGATTTATACCACATCTATATCTATATAAATAAATAAAATTGAAGTGTCTGTTTGTAATGTGAAAACAACAGCTTTTTACTAAATGCATATGAAAGTATAATACGGTACTTACACGACAATTATAGTCTAACAAAAAACATTTTTTGAAATTTTAGTCTGTCTGTGTCTTTTTTGTAATGGCTTGACCTATTTTAACGGGACTTTCTATGACAGATAGCCGATGTTATAAGGAGTAACTTAGGCTACTTTAATTTTAGAAAAATAATTAGGGTTCCGCACAAAAAAATTAAAATCCTTCAAATCCAATTGTAATAAATTCATACGGACGGAGTCGCGGGGAATAACTAGCAAAATATAAATTTATTTCATAAACGATAGGTTTAATAAATAGGAAGTTGTTGGTGTCTATACCAACAGCACATTTATTCAAACGATAGCATTGCTTATATCAGTGACGTGACGGACCGCATGCCGCTCCTAACTCAATCACGTAGGTTCGGACTTAAGCTTTTAACGTGCCTGAAAGTAGAACACGGCTCTTTATAAAGAGCGCAATGTACTCTAAGCTTTGCGACCTTCTATTAAAGTCAATAGTCGCTAACCACAGCCATTCGCAAGCCAATTTCTTAACAAACATTAAGGTTTGCTTTGACACTATTATGTAAACGCTAACCGACTTCCAAGGTGTAATT